TTAAAAGAATCAGATCAGAACAAAAACAGAGTGTTGCTGCTATATCAGGACCGGAGCCGCCTTGTCCTCATATACTAGCGATCAAAAACGTCTAGGCGACGTTGTGGGTGATTGATTATTCTTCACCCTAAAACCCCTTTCCCATGGATAATTCCAAATTTCTCCAGAGTAAATCTAACACCGAGATGCACACCATCTTCCCTTTATCTAATATTACTCCGACTCCTCTTTTATTCTTCTTTCCTGCATATATAATTCTGTGCAAGATTATAGAATTCTCTTCGCTGCATATCAGGTAAGGAATTAGGTTCCCGATTAGCTAACACCCATAGCGACATTATATGATATTATTTGGTAGTGAATTACCTTGATTGTTTTTGCAGAGGTAGTGGAATAGATTCCTGCGATCTTCTCCACGGTGTTATCATCGAGACACCACATTTAGTTATCTGGCCTTTAACAGTTGAAGTTCATCGTCATTTTGATTGACGTTATATTTCCTTCCTCCAAAGTTGTTAACGATCCATTTTCGCCACACTGAAGTGGATCGGGGAAGCTAGTTTAGTTACTAAAGATATGACAAAAACATCGCCTTGTCTGGTAGTGACTGCATCCAACATAAACAATTCTACCTGTTTGTTTTTCGTGTAAGCAAAACTTTTGTCTACCTGTTTGAATATTGTACAAACCAAGCCTATTGTTAAATGTTGAACTCTTGTGAAAACAAAACCTATATCTACCTGCTTGAATAGTATACAAAGCAAAACTCGCGTCTACCTGTTTGGCTCTCGTAAAACACAAACCTATGTCGACCTGTTTAAATCATGCCTACATTTCTGTCGTTTCAAGTCTTTTCTTAATCTATACAATTTTGTCATTGCAATATAGGATTGTTGACATTACATAGAAGTCCAGCAGACTTTCTTTCCTACTGTTATTCAAAGTGCTGTTAAGACGCCGCTTATGGAAGACATCAAATTTGCAAAATTGTTTCTGGTAGGTGGTCTAGGATTTGAAGCCATAAAGGAGTGTTATCATGGTGGACGAAATTTGCGGCCCGGACATTTGCGTACCAGACAAATGCGTCTCTGACTAATTGCGTACCTCTGATAATTTTTGAAGTTAGCATTTTTTTAAAGAGTTATTTAATATAGACATTTTCACACCAATACCTTTAATTACTCTAAAGAAGCAGAAAGGTAGATTCTGGATTTTATAGATTATATTTTTATATGGAACCCATGGCTAAGTTCCTAAAATCAAACACTGGTGGAAAAATATTTGTAGACGAGGAAAATTACAGCTACTACTATCATAAGAAATACACTGATGAAACAAAAACATACTGGCGACGTGTAGAGCGATCTTGCAACACTGTTAATCTGTCATTAAATTTTGAACAAGAATAAACTTATAAAAATAAACAGATATTCAAAAATAAACTTTTAATTTTTTTAATTTTATTCCTCTTTTTTTTTCTTTTTTTTTTTTTTTTAAAATAATGATTACTATGCTTTTTTCAAACTTTATGGTAATTGCCTTTAAAACTTCAACAAATTATCAGAGGTACGCAGTTATCCAGGGACGCAATTGTCTGGTACGCAATTGTTTGGGACGCAAATGTCCAGTACGCAACCGTTCATAGAACCGTGTTATCATTACTACAGCTTGTTATACATTAAGTTTGATTTCAAGTTAATTCCGGTGACATTCCACGGCCGATATTAGAGCATTCCAAGGCAGTCTGTACCTTGATCTCATCGTCAAGAGGTGCTGAATCACTGAATTTTGGTTCAGAGATAATTGAACGATTATGAATATTTAAGTCCTGTAACATCTGAAATCCTTAGTACAGATGCTGAAGTGTATTGAATGGGGTTAGCGAACACCATTCTCAGATTTAAGCATTGGCATAGTTTGGTGTAACTGTAGCCTTGCAGCTCGGAATAGACACCGGGTTCGTTTTCAGGGTGCGGTTTCTTCCAGTCAAACGCTTGTTGCATAAAAAACAACTCTTTGGCCAGATCGTTACCCATGAAATCAAACCATGAGCCGATTGTAGCATTAACTAATTTTATTTTGGTTGTAACCTTCTGATGTAGACGAGTGAGGCAGAGATCAAGCGGAGGGGAATGGACGAACAGTCTAACAGACGTGTCTTTCTTTTTACGTCGCAGCAAGTTGTCTCTCCTCCCTTTTGTCCGTTCTCTGTGGGTCTCTCTGTTTGCTGCTCCTCGGAACCACAGTCTTATAGAGAACAGCATTCATCGCCTTGTCAACTTTGTCTAAAAAAGTAATTTAAGGACCCTTGGTCTTGTTCCCCATAGTGACCTTCTTTGTCAGAATCGTCCGATATGGTTCTTATGAGGTCTACTTTATTTAGCTGATGATCATCAAGACCATAACTGTCAAAACAATTTCTGTAACATCTTTCAGATGTTTTCATTTAACAAGATATCGGCTGACACTGATATCACTACATAACACTGCCAAAATAAACAAACTCTAGGCATTATTTACGTTTATTGAAATTTCTCCTCAAGGTGTATTTCGCTATGGTTTGGCAAAGTGCTGTCACTCAGTATATTGCTCAATCCTCTGGTACCAGAGCCTAGCAATATAATAAAAGTTGGTGGCATTGCCAAGATGTTAAATATCCTTGTCAGTACATTTGGATTTATTATATAATATTATCTTCATAAATTATTATTGAAATCATCAGAATCTAATCTTTCATACATAACACCATATTTTATTCAACTTCAATCACCATTGAGATGTAGATGTATGGTCCCAGGTCCCTCTCAGACTTGATCTCAGATTCTTGTGTGAATTTGAGAAACTCTCCTCTTTCCACTCGCAGGTGGGTGTTTCTATATCTACCTGTCATATAGTATAGAATAATAGGCTGTGTTTTCATGCAGTTGATATTATACTCAAGCTCATGAGCCTTGAGAAGAGATGATGCAACCAGAGAAGCAGCATTGGGAGATAGGTGATCATAAGTAATACTGGCCTTTGTTAAGGATTTAGCTTTGAATCAATGATGGCACTTAACACTAGTACTGAAACTTCCAAATTGAGGAATAAAGAACAAAAATACAGGACACGTTCTTGATTGGGTTCATTTGTTACTGTAAAGAGACCGGAATTTTCTTCATCACACCTGACAGAACCTTTAATGCCCTGAAGAAAAGAATCGATAAGAAGTCAACATTTTATCAAGAATGACTATTTTTTTTATTTTGGACATTCCACTGGGTACTCCAGTTTGGTTCATGAAAATCACGTAGATTTCATATTAACTTTCTCAAAATTTTTAGCAAATTGCCATCGGGATAAAATCATATCTCTATCATATCCTTTCTCAATATTATCAGCTTTTTTAAGGACATTCCACGGGTCATCATGGTCTGATCCAAGAAAATCATGTAGATTTCATATTGACTTTCCCATAATTTTCAGCAAATTGCCATAGAGATAAAATCATACCTATTGTATGCTGTTTCAGTGTTGCCAGTTTAGGTATGATTCTATTCCAGATTGGATGTGCGGATGGTGTAATGGATACCAATTCAGAATGAGAAATCAGAGAGCTGAGTTTGAATTTCACCTGGGCTTCTTACTTGCATTCACCTCCCCTATCTATGGGTTAAAAATATGATTTGTATCTAGAAAAAAGTCATGGTCATACGAAAAAACTTGTTAATGCAATATTCACTGACAAAAATAAAGAATATTCTTAAAATCCACAAAGATTTGACAGGGTTGAAAAAGGGTTGATAAGTCATGAAACAAACAAGATTATATGACCTGGAAATTTCACAGGAATGGAAAGGTGTGTAATTCCTTGAGAGTTATCACAAACTACTTTTTTTGCCCTTGAGTTTGTCAAGATGTACAATGGATGCATTTCTTAAAACTCTTGTGGGACTTCTGTAGTCTCCCAAATGACAAGGAAGTGATCGTAATTTTTTTTTCATGAGATGGGTGAATTTGAAGATCTCAGGTGGCACATCATCCTGACCAGGGCTTTAAAAGATGGTATGTGCTTAATGGCATCACACATCTCCTTGATACTAGGGTTGAGAGTGAGTTCTGGAATCTCAGGTCTCTGGGATATTAATCAAATAACCTCTTCATCAACCAGCAATTTAGAGTTTAGTACTGTTCTTACCATTTAGAGAAGATATCAGGCTTTTCTTGAGCAACAGTTGCTTATGAGGGTGAGAGTTAGTTTTTGTATTCAGGCCCTCATATGTAGAGTCTGTTTTGCTTGTAGCATAATTGTAATGCAGTTGATTTTGCTAACTAGCATGATTCTTTCGTACCTCCTAATGAAGATCGCACACACAGTTCACATTTCTTATAAGGTGTTTTTTTCAACAATTTTCTTGTCTTCCATTAATGGAGTTGGTGTATTTGGCTGATAAGCAATTGAATCTCAAAATTGTTCTCATCAAACCAATCTTCCGTGGAGGATAACCAAGAACTTCAAGAAATGTAGAGCATCCTTGATAAATTACTTTTTTTAGATAAAGAGGACAAAACAAAGAATGCTGTTGTCTATAAGACTGTGGTTCCAAGGAGCAGCAAAAAGAGAGACCCACAGAGGATGGATAAAAGGGAGGAGAGACGACTTGCTGCGACGTAAAATGGAAGACACACCTGTTAGACTGTTCGTCCAACTCCTTAGAAGGATTTACATGATTTCTTAATGCCGTTAAGCTTATCGCCACATTATGTTGAAACACCGGTTCCCGTATAAACATTAAAGTTAAGCAACATCAATCTGGTCAGTACCTAGATGGGTGGCTGTTTGAGAATGCCAAATGTTATAAGTTTGGATGTGCAGGTGGTGTAATCAATAACAGCTCAGAATTGTTATTCAGAGAATTATTATTAAGTGAATATAATGAACCCAACCAGAATTAGAACTTGGCTCTCCAATTAACAATTCCGAGATGTTATCCATTACACCAACCAACCACCAATCCAAGCTTACAGCAACTAGTATTCCAAAACAGTCACTCATCTAGTTACTGACTAGGCCTGAAATTGCTTAACGTCAGTGATCGTACGGGAGCAGGTTTCAACATGATATGGTCGTA